GAGCAGTGGACCGTGTGCCAGCCCTGGGCTAAGGTCTTTTTGTCCATCAGCTTGTTTAGTCATCATGGCAGCCCTGAGAGGCAGATACTGTATTATTTCTCTATCTTTCATTTAAAGATACTGAAGCCGGGGAAGGTTAAGGTCAGGATGGCTGCAGGGGGTTTCTTCTCAGGGTGGAAGGTAGAATTAGACCTCTAAGATCCCTTTCACCCTTGACATTCCAGATCTTAAGGTCATCTGATTCCACATTAAGAGACTCCATGATTCTGAACCACATCTCTCATTGCGGTGTCTTGGAGAGTGGAGATGCCCTGGGCATGGCAGGGCTGCTGGGCGTGTCCCACACTGAGCTGGCTGCCTCGCCCTCAGACTGCCGCTCTTCATCAACCTGATAGTTCCTCAAATCTTTTGCACACAGGTGTTGATTGTCCATACGAATCACCTCACTTCCCTGCTTCCTAAATCCTGCAGCCTCATGAGTCTTGCGACCATCAAGGTACTGCGCCCGTTCTCCAGGTGTCAGGATCTCTGCCTACTGTTTGCAGTGGGAGCCAAGCTTCCCTGCTCCCTTTGGGTATCCTGTATTAAAACTGAAGCCAGATAGGCCTAATATACTACTCAATCTGGGGCTAGCTGCTTAATTCACTTGGTTAGAGCATATTGCTGATAACACCAAGGTCCAGGGTTTGCAACTGGTCCCTGTATTGGCCAGTTGCACCCCCCTCCCCAAGGGAACAATATAATAGTCAATCAGGGATTTGGCCAACGTGGCTTGTTGGGTACTTCTACATGCTGAGCATGATGAGGGGGCAGTGACAGAGATAACCAGCCACAGTTCCTGCCCTCAGGGAAGCTACTTGCTAGGTGGAAAGAAAAATCATAAACTCGTAGCAAGTCAACTATCAGGGAGCGAGGAAATTGACAGTTCTAAAGAAGAAGGAACAGGTGGGATATCCAGGGCATCATGCTGCTGACATGTGAAATCTCAGATCTGGGAAGACTCTGTCCTGACTGTGAGCCCCTCCAGTACAGGGGCTGGGAGGTAGTCACATTACATGTGACATTGTTCATGAAAACTTTATTGTGTGAGAAGGTAATTTACCTGTGGCTTTTGTCCAGCTGACTCCATTTTATTGTATCTCTTCTTGCCTATATTACCCATCAAAAGAAACATTCAATAATTTACCCCTGTTAAAGCAGCTCTGAACAGTTTTCTGCAGGTCTTCTTATAAGCACGGACAACAGTGTTTCACAGGACTTTGCTCTCATAGATGGTATGGAAGTTTGGCTCTAACCTCCTTGTGGGCCTTGCACGCTGTGGGGAGAGCTCCCCTCCCTGTCTTTTGCACAAACAGTTCACCATGGTGAGGCCAAGCCGAAGCTGCCCAGTTCCTCTTCAGCAGGAGGCGAGGCAACAGTATAAGAAACCATGCTTTTCAGGTGCATCCACGTGGGGTTGTCTGTCACAAGTGTGTATCCTCATACTCTTTGGGGCATTATCATTCCCATTCTCCCTGTTTTGCTATATGCCCTTCTTGTATGTAGGAGAAAAAATACAAGATCAATTACTGTATTTTGACTCCACTAACAGTTTTGTCTATTAAGTTTTATTATTCCTTCTTTTCTTTTCTTTCTTTTTTTTTTTTTTTAAGATGACCAGTAAAGGGATCTTAACCTTTGACTTGGTGTTTGTCAGCACCACACTCTCCCAAGTGAGCAAACCGGCCATCCCTATGTAGGAATCCGAACGAATGGCCTTGGTGTTATCAGCACCACTCTCTCCCAAGTGAGCCACGGGCTGCCTCTTATTCTTGCCTTTCAAAGAAGGAAACTGAGGCTAGGAAGGTGCACTGATTTGAGCCTGAGAGTTCTTTGGCTCGTGAACCCTTGCTCTCTTCCCCTGTCTCCCTCACAGAATCAGGCTGAGTACCTTGTGTTAGTTGGATCTGGCTGGTGTTTCATGTTATACTAATGTGTAAGCTCTATGAGCTTGTATGTCTGTTTTTCCTATCATCTTTTTTCGCCTTAAGTTTCTTGCTTCTCAGCCTGGAATAGAAAAACCAAGGGCTGTTTAAAACATTTTTCCAAATTGGCAGCATTAGAGCCACCCAGGATTTGACAAGAGTCACGGATCTGAGGAGTGAATGAAGAGAGGACAAGAGATGGACCCTAGTAATCAGGCTGATGGCTCTTTGCTTATAAAAATGGGCTCTTCTGGCAATAGCATCTGCTTACAAAGCCCAGAACGTGAAATCTGCACTCTCGTGGGGAGGGAACCCACCAACCAGAGGCCAGGAACGGGTTTGTCCATGGCTCAGAGGGCTGTCTGGCACTCTGGGCTCACTGAAGCATCCTGTGTACATAAGCTTCTCCATGTGCCTGACCGAGCTATAAAGTAAATATTCTAACTGCAGCAGTTTGCCTGTGAAGTGTGAGGCATTCAGCTACTGCAAACACCAAGTGCCTGCTGCCTAGAGGAGGTCCCTTGGGGAAGGAGCAAAGTAAACACGTGATCACAAGGCAGTGATAAGTGCTGTGAGGACTTTATACTCAACCCTGTGTGGGCCAGCAAGGTGGGTCTGTGGGTCCTGGAGTTACACCCAGGAGTGGGAGCCCAGCTGTCACTTGATAGTGGTTCTCTGACCTTGGGGCATTCACTTCATTGCTGTGAGCCTCAGTTTCCCCATTCACAAATCATTGATACTGTGGACACTGCTGAGGCCAGGCAGCAGGACTGTGTACTAGCCTGTCCTCCACCTTCCTGAAATCCAGAGCTGATCCAGAGCTGGATGGAGACAGAACGGGTGTAGCCGTGGGCCTGGTGGGCTGCGGTCCATGTCCAGGGGTGGGGCAGGGGGGACTCAGCTCGTGATCCCGTGGGGGCCTCCTGCCATTTTCCCTTGTACCCATGTGGCCTTTCTTCTCTCTCTGCAGGAGGTCCTCAGGCCTTACTGCGCTTTCTGTCTCTCCTCTGCCTTCTGTACCTGCAGTGTCCTTTTCACCTTGTTGTATGTCCCTGAAACCAAAGGAAGGACTTTGGAACAAATCACAGCCCATTTTGAGGGGCAATGATATCCCTTTTCTGTGAGTGGCTGTCCCTCCTAGCTGGGCCAGCTTTGGACTTCAGTGGAAATGGAGCCAGCCTATGGCTCTGAGCTGAGCCTGAGCCTGGGGCCCCTGACAGTCTGAGGCCCTACGGAAGTCGGGACCGAGGAGCACAGCCACTGGGAGCCTTGGCCTCTGGGCCCCTCCTTCCTGTCCGGCTTGCAGCAGCCTATACCCAGAGCTGTTAGGTTCACCAGCTTCCAGGTCCAGTTCCTGCTGCTGCTGTGGGGACTCACAACCATCTGGGAGGAGCCCTGTGGTCAGCCCTCCACATGCCGCCTCCTTCATGACACTAAAGCAGCAGCGGTTGGGGGGCACTTCTTTGCTCCTTATTTCCTGGCTGGAGATGCTTTTGGAGGCTGGGTGCTGGGCACCTGCTTGCTCCTCTCACATGGCTGCATTATCAGGAAGGAACTTTGTCAAATAAAGATTTGACTCAGAAAATCAGGTCACGACCTCTCTGTGTGAGTCCAGTTTGAGAAGGGTGTATTCCGTCCTCCTGTAAACCAGGCCTCTTGGGCCTGCCCAGAACATCCTATGCATTTACTTCCTCGTGCTCAGCCAAGCTTGCTCTTGGCATGTGGAGGTCATTTCTAGCTCTT